CTCCTCTCGGGATCTTGGGCACGCACACACATGCACCCGGTGTGAGTTTAAGCCACCAGGTCCGAGACTCAAACCGCGGTCGACTACATGGGAGTCCAGCGACATAGCCATTACACTAACTGCTGGCTCCAAAAGTGCTACCGTTTTTTTAAAGCTTATTCATTTATTTCTCCCATGAGAGAGAGAGAGAGAGAGAGAGAGAGAAAGAGAGCAAAAGTCACCCTCCCAACAGGGTTCTCACACTGCAATCTACCCCCAGCCTCAGTCGGCCTGGATTGTAGGCATGCACACACGTACCCAATGTGCACAGGCAGACCAAGAACCAAGAACCTTCCCATGTGGGTTCAGCTGCATTTACTGCTGCACTACCATCTGGCCCCAAATACCAATTTATTGAACACCCATTTGCCACACCTATGCTGGGTGATTTTTCATAGACTATCCTATTTAATTTCTTACTCAATGATCACAGGAAGAAGATGGGAGAAAAGGCGGTGACTTTTATTATTATTTTGAGATACATTTTTACTAGGTTTCAAATTCAGCTAAGAATTTGTATAACATCCTTCAAGTACTAGCCTTACATGGGGAGAAAGCACCAAGACCTTGGTAGTGAAAACCCAACAAGAGCAACCTCAGAGGTAAGAAAATTGGTTAACATAGAAACATATGTGCTGGCAGATTATGAATTCTTGTTTACTTAAAAATATAAATCTTTAAACAAATTATGAACAAATACCCAAATTTACTAACAACTAAAATACCCATACACTACTCTACTGACACATGATACATATAAATTTTTAAAGTCTTAGAGCTTATTTTCATTCTCTAATACAAATAGTCAAAAAAAATAATAAGTTTGCTCTTATTAGCCTTATACTCCAGATGCAAATTTGAAACTGACTTTTGATTAGAGACATCCATTCTCTGGTATGGAACTCGCTTCTTCCCAGTCAGATGGCTCCTGTCTATCCTGCTGTTAAGCTCCACCCTCCGGGCAGTTCTCACTAACACCCTTTTGCTCCTGAGAGGACTCCATTCATTACCTTGACTGGTTAGAAATAAAAGCTCTATGACTCAAGTAAGCCCACCGAGACTGTTAGGTCTGATTTTTTACCTTTTTATGGTTAATAACACATACTACACAATACAATATGCAAATATCAACTCTTTATTGTAGCTGTTCTTGTTACTATCAAATTTTACACCAATTCTGCCTCACTGACTTGAGACTCACAGATATGGTTAAATGCTTATAAGCATTTATATTTGTTTAAAAATCATAATGGGCCATAAATACAACTTGTCCATTCAGGAAAATATTACCATAAAAGACCCTATTTGTATGTTTTTTTAATTAACTGAATTTGGGCTTTCAGAGACTACTACAACTATTGGGAGAATAAATTCATCTTCTTTCGTTTACTCATGAGGGAGTTAGGGATCTTTCCATGTGCGGAAGATGCAAGAAAGAAGCCATGGCTGGAAATATTCTGGTGAAGTGGACACCAGTGAGTAGTGATCACTGTGTATTTAGAAAACAGGGAGTTGCTCCCAAGAAGAGAAGTCCTTGGTTTCTGTGATGAGAAACAAACTTCTCCCTAAAGATGTGTAGCAAAACACCGCCATCATACTCAATGTAGTTCGTCATACAAAGAGATAAATTGGCTATAGTCATAGAGGAAGTGCTCCTAAAAATAACTGAAATAGTTCCCCACTGCTGCACACCCTTTGGGTATCTTACTTCAGAATGTCTCATTAAACTGCTGCCTCTAATGGTGAAAGGCATTACAGAATCTGACGACTTGCCCTGAATTTCCCATCGATTGTCCTTTGTCACCTTTGCTTCCCTGTTGTTCCTATTACCTGTTAGAAAAGTTAATTCAGAAAGAGAATACAAGACATTTCTCCTCGCAGTTGCCACATGCTTTGCTACATCCTTGAGTACAGCTGCTTAACGCAAATCTAACATTTCTTTTTTTTCTGGCAAGCTTGTCTCACTCTGCTAATGATAGCAAACGTGAGCAGTCACGTCATCACAGACTAGTTCTAGATGAGCCAGTGATGCTGTCAAAGCCAGCAGAGTAAAAGAGCTTGTGTGGCCACTGCCTACCTCTTGTCTTTATCTAACAGGAAGGAAACATGGCACCTTCTTAAGCCCACTTGAGGTTCCAGGATGCTGGAAGACAGGATGCTCTGCAGGGTTCTGGATTTTCATCTGGAAACCTCCTTGAGTACACTGGACATGTGCGTGCCCATGATCCAGGGCTGGCTGAGGCTGAGGGCAGATCGTGGCATCAAGACCCTATGGGGAATACTGTCCTCCTGTCTTTCCCTCTGTGTATTGATCATGGAAGAAATAAATAAACTTAAAACAATAATAGGGAAATATAATGACAAGATTCCATTATCATTTTTGGTACATTTCCTGGTAACTCCTGGGGCATTACCCTACTACACTTTGGAGTGAAATTCACTGGGATTATGAAATAAGAACCAGTGTTACTCTGGAACTTTTTAACCCTTAAAACAAATTGGACTTCTGGTGCTTTTAAAACTAAATTATAAGTCTAGAAATGTTAGTGAATAAACTAGTTCCATAGCAGATAGAGTTATAGTGTGGACTGGTTGTCAGGAAACTCCCAGATTCCCAGCTTCAGTTGTCCAGACTATGTTGTTCTTCCTTCATTCTGAGCAAAACTTAGCTATTCTTGTAAACTGGAGATGCAAGCAGTGTTTTAAACACTGCTTTTTCCTGGGGTTTTGATCTTTGTTTCTCATTATTTCTCAAGTTTCATCCAAAAAACTTTTGGGGAGAGGTTTTTACTATAGGGAGCATGCACTTGCCAAACAGAGACAGAGAGAAAGAGAGAAATCACCCCCAGGGGGGATGGCCATGCCACAATCCCTTCTCCTCCATTATCCTCTCAGGATCTTGGGCACACACGCACATGTGCCAGGCGTGAGTTTAAGCTGCCAGGTCTGGAACTCGAACCACGGTCGTCTACATGGGAATCCAGCGATATCGCCATTACACCAACTGCTGGTTCCAAGTTTCACCAAAATTTAACTGAGCCCAAAAAGACAGAGAAAATCTTCTCTGTAAAATATCATTTCATCACAGAAACTTTTAAAAATAACTATGTTGGAACCAGCAGATGGAGTAATGGTTAAGTCACTGGACTCCCACGTAGCAGATTCTGGTTTGAGTCCTGGACTCAGCAGCTTAAACCTCATGCTGGGCATGAGTGCATGCGTGTCCAAGATCCTCAGAGGAGAGTGGAAAAGGGATTGCGGTGTGGCCATTCCCCTGGGCGGGAGGTGATTTCTCACTTTCTGTCTCTCTAGTGAGCACACACACCCTATAGCAAAAATCTCTCTGAAAGAAAGAAAAAAAAAGAAAGAAAGAAAGAGAGAGAAAGGAAGGAAGAACGAAAGAACGAACTCTGTTAACCTTTCTCTGACAGAGAAACTGTGAACGAGAAATCTGTGAGTAAAAGACCAGAATAAGAGAAAATAAATAGACAGGAGATATAGGTTTTAAATATCTACTGTGGAAATACCTCCATGAGACTTTCAGACAATGACTGTCATGAAGATACATGAATTATGAGGCCTATGCGGTTTATCTGGGTATGTGTGAGTTTCTCCATTATTCTGTAGCTAATAGGTAATCGTAACATTTAAAAACTACTCCTTGAATGGAAAAAAAAAAAGAAAGACTTGTCAAAGTAATTTCTTGCCCATCTAATAACCTGTTGTTACAGTCACAAGTCATAAATATATCTGATATATTCACAAGGTATCCCTACTGTTGTGAAAACAGATTACAATAGTCAAATCAACTTTTTATTTATTCAGTTAAATACTAGTCTCTCGTCAACATAGTTTTAGACTAGAATACAGTGATCTATCATCACATGGTCTTTATTTGAAACTTAACAGAAGGGATAATTATTATAGTAAAATGAAATCTTGACTGCTGTGGCAAAAGATTAAATGTGAGAATTTACACCCCTTTCTTACCTCATGTGCAATGATACTGTTCATGAGTGCATCACAAACACATGGGGATATATACATCAGCAATTGTCCTCCCCACTGCCCTCAGCATGGACTCCTCTTACCCCTCTCTATGCTCCAGCCACCAGAGCCTTCTCTTCCTGTTGTCTGCCATCCCTTCAAGAATGCCAGGTGCTCCTGGAAATCTAGTAATTGAACACTCCTGATGACAGAGGTACCTCAGCATCTAAAATAGCCTCTGGCATGTCGGAAGGGCTCAATGAGCATTTGCTGATTGAATGAAGCTACTGAGGTAGCTTCTGAGAAAAGAAATAGAGTGGACGGTCTCACCCTTTGACTATGCATTCAGCCACCTTCACTTTCTATGGCCTGCTCTTGGTTTCCTACAATGTCAATGGCCTGACGGAATAGCTTCACTTTGTTAGTTCACTGGTTGCTTTTTTGCATGATTCAAAGGTCAACCCAATACAAAAAGATCCATGCAGAGGAGTCATTCCTGTACCTAATCTTAATCACTCACTTCCCTTCTGCCTACCACAGATAAGCATTTTTATTAATGTATTGTTTATACTTCTAGTGTTTCTTGATATGAATACAAGCAAATTCACATGTATATGGTTTCCTGCCTCACCTTTCATATACCAAGGGTAGCATACGCTATACACTATTCACCACCTCACTTTTTTCACTTGGCAATATACTTGGCAATCTTTCCGTATCTGAACACAGATCTTCACTGTTCTCTTTTAACAAGTGCATAGCATTCCGTTGTAAATACATGTCACTGTCCTTTTAACCAGTCCCTTTTCAATTGACAGACACCTGACAGCTTCTGATATTCTGGTATTATGCACAAAGCCTCAATGTATTTGCTACAAGTGCAGGTTTATCTGCTAAAATAAAAATTCCCAGAACAGGACTGCTGGGTCAAAGGCTAAGTTCCCACTGCCAGATTCCTCAGTTGTAAAGTTGTTCAAAAATATTGTTAGGTGCTAGAAAGAGGTGGCAATAGTTTTAATATATGTGTGTGCTGTAGGTCCCTAAAATGTTTTCCATTCTTTTCAGGGGATTGTTATCCTAATTCTTGACTTTCCAAAAACACAGACTTTGAACACTTAAATCAATGCAGCATCCCCCAATCGTGGTCTGAGTTCACTGTATTAATCCCTGTGTTATTTGCTTCCATCAGTTCTTTTAGGCTAACAGATTTTCCTCTTGGAGGAAAATAGTCCCTCTAAGGAAGCCTTGAATGCGTAGTTAATATGGGCAGGATTAAATTTTTATGAAAGTATTCAGGGATTCTAAATCAGCAGCATATCTTTTTTTCATCACAATACACAAAATGACATGAAAAAATACATAAATGAATATTTAACAACCTTATTCATTCTAATTCAGGGGATCCCCAAAACTAGTTTATATTCTCAGAGTTTTTAGTAATTCATGACTTTTTTTTTTTACAGTGAGACTCTATTATTAGAAAATGATGCTTGCTTGCAGAATTCATAAAAAGGTTCTTTCCTGCCCCTTTTAGAGAAGGCCTGAGGAAACAGCATACTTTCATATGAGGATCTCAGCTTTCAGGAACTTGGCCCTCTGGTTTAGAATATTTATTCTAGACAGGAAGGACAAGAGCAATGATCTTTCATAGCAGCATGGCTTTGGTAAATACAAGTCATACTAGACTAAATTTATTATTTTGTTGGGTATGTTTTTCTTTAATGCCATCAATTTATTTGTACCACTTAGCATGGACAATACGATAATTTCCATGTGCTAGTTAATGTAAACTTCAATTCAAGGGACATCTAGTTACCCTATTCAATAACTCTATTCCATGCACTAAAGACATGACAGGAATGTTTTCAGTTCTTTGGTTCATAATCACTCCCTACCATAAACAACCAAATATCTATCAACCATAGAAGAGGCATCTAAACATCACAAAAATGGATTACTACAAGGGGCAATGCCCAGCAATGGGCAAAAATGAACAACCTCAGATGTAACATGAATGAATCTCACAAAACATAAAATTTTTACAGCAGACAAAGCTACAGTGAAAATAGCAATTATCTTTGTGGGTACCAAAGGGTACCAGTAAGACTTCTGGCAATGCTAAAAAAGTTCTATATCTTGATGCAGAGAGTCATTACACAGGTTTAAAAAAAAATGAGAGATTCGTGAACTTTCCAAAGGTATTTCTAAAAGTTCATGGAAAAATGGTATTATAGTATAAGTGTATTTTGATATCAGAAATTTCAGAGTTTGGGGGCCAGCCACCAGCATGGTAGTTATGGTGCTGAACTCCAACATGGTCAACTGCAATTCAAGTCCTGGACCCAGTGGCTTAAAAATAATACCCAATGTGTGTGCATGGGAGCCCAAAATCCCAAGAGAAGACAGGAGAACAAAGGATTGCAGTGTGGCCATCCCCTCAGACCCCTCAGGGGGTGATTTCTCACTTTCCCTCTGTCTCACTCCTTGAGAGCACACATCCTATGGAAAATAAATAAATAAATAAATAAAAACAAAAGAGCAATGTCAAAGTTTGAGAGAAAATTTGAAGATAAATTTCCCAAAAGATTTACCAGTTCCAAGAACACATGGCATGCGAATGACAATATTTATTGAGCACCACTGTCATCAGAATTTATCTCATTTCTCTCACCCTTCTAAATAAATCAGTCTAGGAAGCTAAGGCTCAAGGGCTATAATCCCAGCCCCCTTTCCTCTCAGTTTTCTCTCTTCTCTTGAAGCCTGCTAGAGGCCACAGATCGCTTCCCTCTTCTGTGCCAGCAGTCTGGCCTGAGGCCAGTGGCCTGATTCTGAGACTCAGGATTGGGAAGTCCTTTATGACCACCCACCTTGGTCCTCCAGTATAGCTTTTATCAGGAACAAAGTTAATATTAATACTTTGATCCTATCCGCCTAGCCCCTCAGCCCTCTTTCTCAATTGGTGCAGAGTTCCAGGGGGAAAGAATGTTTTCTGCTGTGACCCTTCCTCATGCCTCACACACCCCAAGGGGCCTGGGGCAGTTGGCGTAATGGCTATGTCGCTAGACTCCCATGTAGTTGACCGTGGTTCGAGTCCTGGACCCGGTGGCTTAAGCTCACGCTGGGCACGCCCAAGATGCCGAAAGGAGAATGGAGGAGAAGGGATTGCAGAGTGGCCATCCCCCCTGGGGGATGATTTCTCACCTTCTGTCTCTCTGTGTCTCTCTTTCTGGCAAGCGCACGCGCCCTATAGCAAAAACCTCTCCAAAAAAATTTAAGGGGGCGGGGGGCTGGGGCCAGACTGGATGGGAAGGCTAAAAAGCTGGTTCTCACAGGGAACCTGCCCGATGCTTGTAATGTGCCAATCGGCAATGACCTCTGGGGCTAGCAACACCTGATATCTGCCAAGAAATCAAAGCATGACTTTTGCATTCTTCTTTTAGTCTAACACAATAAAGGCTTCTTTAGACAGGTACTCTGACAGACCCAGCACTTAAACTCCTTGAAGAAAACACTAGAGTGTTTTCTTAACAAAGCTAAATTCAAAGGACTGTCCAAGTGTAACTCTATAGGGCATTATCACCATTTCTGGAGACTGAAGCTGATTGGCCCTGAACTCCTTGAACTAGAGCACCACCTCCTCCTCTCTGGCCAGCATACAATGTATACAACCAGGGTAAATGCTAGATCTGTCCAACCTATAAGTCAAGGCCAGTGTAAGACACCACCTGCCTGTCCTATTGATTCTATTAATCAAACAATTTCCAAATTTCGATTCCATCTTGCTAAAGAGCTATCATTTGTTTCTAAAGCTTGGCTTCTCCTTCCTTAAGAATAATAAATAAATTAATAAAATCAGAGCAGCACTTCCTAAAGATATTAAAAGTAAAATTTTCAAGCTGATAGAAGTTAAACATCCCTAATCTGAAATGCTCCAAAATCCTAAAGTTGTTGAGCACCAACAAGAGCTACAAGTAGAAAACGATACAACTGACCTCATGTGGCAGGTCACAATCAAAACACAGGCACAAAACACACAGTATATTCAGTATCCCCAAGGGAAAAAGACCCTCTTGGACCCTTTAGCTGCAAAATATTTTTTGTGAGTCTACCCAGATTCCCCCATGGCAGCATGCCCACAAAGAATTTCATGCACAAAACTATTTAAAATATTATATAACATTACCTTCAGGCTATGTGTCTAAGGTATATATGAAACACAAATGAATTTTGTGTTTAGACTCGGATCTCATCACCAAGATACCTCATTACGTATATACAAACACTCCCCCAAAAAAGCCTGAAATCCCAAACACTTCTGGTCTCAAGTATTTTGGCTAGGGAGAGTCAAACTGCATGAACCTTAGAGATCATTTAGTGGGTTCTACCTCCTTATTCCTCAGGTAAAGCACCTGTGGTACTATAAATTCAGTATATAACCTAACCACAATGAGAATAATTAGAATTTGAACTTGATATTAGAAGATACTAAGAAATTACTATTATGTTAACTGTGGTATTATTATTTTAGTTACAAGTAAAAACTTCATTCTCCTTTCTTCCTGTATTTTATCCTTTCTTACTTTATTAGGTAAGAGGGGATAGATCCATACTAATATTATTAGGGGTGGAATGTCAATATATCTTTTTTTACATGCGTCTTTATTTTTTTAACGTCATTGAGATATGGTTGACAAATAAAAATAATGTGTATTGGGGAAAGCAGGTGGTATGGTGGCTAAAGCACTGGACTCCCACATGGCTGACCACAGTTCGAGTCCTGTACCTAGCAGCTTGAAACTCATGCCAGACGTGTGCGCCCAAAATTCCAAGAGGAAAATGAAGAAAGGACTGCAGCATGGTTCTCCCCCCCTGCCCCAGGTGATCTCTCACTTTCTCTGTGTCTCGAGTGAGTGCACATGCCCTATAGCAAAAACGAAACAAAACAAACAAACAAACAAACAAAAACTCTCTTAAAAACTGTGTGTATTTGGGAAGTACAAGAAGTGTTTTAATATATGTAAAAAGGTGAAACAATTACCACAACTAACCTAATTAACATAGTCATCACCTAACATTGTTACTGTGTATAGGAGGCGTGGGGGACAACACTTGAGATCTACTCTCTCAGCATCTGAAAAACTGGAGCGAGTTTAATAAGTAACCCCTCTGGTTCGTGGCAGAGCTGGTCAAGAGCAAGCACTGTTTCTGCCAGTAGTTTCCAACATTTTGTAATCTCAGGGGGGAGCAGCCACCCAGGATGACTGGCAGTCCCTCAGACACTCCTTGGGCTCTGTCCACTCAGCATCAGAGGGCTCTGCACACTCTAATGAGTGTGGCAAATGAGGCATTGATTAAAAAAGAATAAGTTTCTAGGTTGACTTCTTTCTCTGATTTTTTTTTAATTGCCAGAGGGTGTGTGTACTTGCCAGAGAAAGAGATAGAAAGTACTTCCAAATGGAGCCTGGTCATCCCATAATCCTTACACCTCTAATTCTCCATCCCCTCATGATCCTGGGCACACACAAACATGCATCCAGCATGTTTTTCGGGTCACCAGGGTCAGGATTCAAACCATGGATGGCTATGTGGGATCAGTTTTCAATACATAACACTTAACCACAGCCCTATGGAACTGATCCCTTCTCTGCTCTTAGTGATCAAATACTCATTTAATATTGACCTGGGCAGACATTTGTTACAAGTTTTAGAGACCATATTGGTGCACCAAGAAAATACTGTAGAGTCTTCTTTGACATAATAGAATTAGTGTATAATCATACAATAGTAACCATGAACTGCTTACTATATGCCAGGGGTTATTCTAAGTGTTTTTCAAAAACAATCTCAGCATCCCGTGAGATTACTGTCTCCAATGCACAGATGAAGTAGCCAGAGCATAGAGAGGTTAAGAAACTAACTCACCAAGACCACAGAGCCCTAAACAGCAGCCAGCAGGTTAGAGGACTCAGCTGTATATTCTTCTCTAGCCACATCCATATCTAGACCATCACTCCACTGTTTTTCAGTAAGATAAACTGTCTGCCTATACTTCCTTCTCATGCCCGTCTTCAAAAATAGTACAGACAGGTATCAGAAGATGGC